AAGATAACATTTCTTTAATAAACTACAAGGTGTCAGTGACAACTACTCTGCCACTTGTGTTACCCTTAAAAGACAAATAATTGATTGCTCCTGTTACGCTGCTTATTTATCTTTAATTGCCAAATCAGAACACAGCACTCCATTCCCTCTTTTCCTCTTCAGAGAACAGATGGTGGTAATTAGAGAATCTGATTCGCAAAATACAAACATTCCCATCCCCATATCATCCCACCCGCCTTTTACCAGCTCTAAGCTTCTTAACTTGTGTGTCTTTGTTCCCATTATCTCTGCTCGTCAGGAAAGAGACTCAAGTGGCATGTAATGACACTATGAGTGTAAGTAACGCTTGTTTAATTTTCGGGTACTAATGGCAACAAAGAGTTTCTAAGTAGTCTCAAATTGTCTCAAATTCTAATTTCTCTCCTTCTACAGGTCTGCCTATAAGCTCTATCATATCTCCTAATACTTACGCAGTGAGTACAGAACAATGGTGCTTAGAAATTCCCCACTGTAGCACTGCAGTTACAGTAAACAGAAAGCTACTGCCATCTGACTTTATTCTTTCCTGCTATGTTCCCACGACAAGTATGATGCCATGATGCAAGTCATTAAAGGTATAGTGGGGACTTCAGTGTCTCCAGCGTACTACATGTGGGAGGTTTTAATATTTGTCACTAATGACTTGTCCCTGAAGGCCGTACAAGTGCTTAAAGTCATCAATGTGCACATAATACGACAAGCACGACATATTCACCACTAAATTATTGCACATGAACTGCTGTTCAAAAGCTGACTTAAATTATGAATAATGTCACTAGCTATGTTTACATGCACAAAATTTTTTGATCGGATTGAAATGTATTCCGATTAAATAATCTGAATGTACTGTTTACATGGACACAATCCGATCATGAGAAGTGTTTACATGCATCCAGACATGCGCAGTGTTGTAAACTTTCAGCTCTACTTCCGTGTTACAAACGTAAACAAATCTCTTCTGTGTGCTCAGGATGGAACCGTGTCAGCTTTTAATAATGGTAGAGACGTCGTTACTTCCCGGTTGAGCTGCAGATGAAGCAATACGTGTTTTTTATTTTTATTTTTGTGAAGCAACATCTGCTGTGTGTTTCCTTTTTCAATCTGTTAAGAGAGCGTGGAGGAAAAGTTCTGCGCGGTTCAGCACAACTGGAATGCTGCTGCCCCGCTGCTGCTCCTCTAAAGAGCAGAACCGGGTGAATGAAAGTTAGAAGACATGCGCACTCAGGTTAATTTTTCCACAATCAGAATAAGATGATAGGATTGTTTGTTTGAACGTCATTCCGATTATCAATCGACATAACCCACCCGACTAATCTGGATTAAAAATTCATTCGGATCGAGCTCAATCGGATCAGAATAATCCGAACGGGCTGTTTACATGACACATTTTTATTCCGAATGACCGTTTAATCCGATTACTTATATCCATGTAAACGTAGCTAGTGTGTCTCCTCTGTCAGATTAAAAAAGAAACAGGCAGATATAAGTCAAATTTGTTCTTACAACAGAAATTTGAATCAGAATCATTTATTACAGACTTCCAGACCTGTTTGAATGAGGCTTGCCCATGTAATAATAACAGCATGGTGTGAAAAAGCTCTGGTTTTAATTTATGAGGATTGTCAAAATCCTCTTAGGTTATGGTTCCTCAGCTCGGTTCACATGATCAATCACTGTGACTTTTTTAGCTTTGGATAGAGAGGGAGAGACCTACAATGACCAGCAGAGGAATGATATAAAAAAGACACATTTCAAAAAAATTTACTGATAATTTTAATGAAGCTTAAATTGCAGTTTTTATTACACTTGTTATCGTGGTAATAAATATCCAAAAAACATCAGTTTAAAATTTGAGCTATAGTCACAGCAAATCTATGACGAACACAAATAAATGCATGAGATCAGCTCTTTCAAAAAGCACCCAAAAGTATATTTAATAGTAGCCTGACCATTGCCTAATCTCCCTTTACTGCTCCATCTGGGCTTTATCCCATTGACTCAAATTTCTTCAGCAGAATTTAAACCGGGCCAGTCAGCGAACAGGAGGAAGAGTTTGAATGAGGACATAGATTTTCTGTGCTGTTCTAGTCTGCTTGTAGTTTAGCAATGGCAGTGGATTAGGAGAGAAACCCAGACATCCCTCTCCCCAGCAATATTTTCAAGCTCGTCCTGGGGGACCCAGGTAAAGGAAGCTAGTAAAAAACGTGATATTGGCTTCAACAGTTACTTTCAGGTCATAATAGTCTGCAAAACAAAACAAACAATTACTTGTAAAACACAAAGCTTTTATTTTTTTGCAACCCCCCTCCCTCATTAGAAATACCCAGGATTTCCTTCAGTGCGAATTTTGGCTTATTGTGAATTTGTGCTCAAACTAACATAATAATCTATTTATCTGAGGAGCAGATCTAAAGCCCAGTTACAGAAACAATTCATATTAACATATTCATAACACTTAAGATCCAGTTCAGCCAATTCTAATGAAAGAGAATGATTTCAGCCTACTTTATCCATGATGAATACAGCTGAGGTCAGTCAGAAACATGTTTTCAATTCCAATATAATGAAGTCATGTAGAGATTTGAAGTTGTAATATTTCAGCAATGTCAAATTCATAAATAATGAAGGTTTCAAATTAAAGCTAAAATTTTCCTCGACTACATCCAAGTGTGTAAAGTATTCCTTAGACATCATACAGTATATTCTGCTGTTTGTTCTCATATCAGTTTTTTTTTCTGCAAATGATACTTACATATTAGATTCTCCAGTCACAACATAGTAAACAAAAGACCGTTTCCCTTTTATTTAATTTTTTTTGACTGTTTTCATTTCCAAACATTAATCCTGTTACTACGGGACTCCAAAGCTGACTATTGAACCTTTCCACCCTTCTCACTGATACAGCTTTAAAGACCCCACAATGATCTTGTATATTTAGAAGAGAGTTTATATAAAAGATAATGAACATTAATACTGTATCTTACATGTAAATATTTCTTTGAATGATCTCACTTCTCAAATTGAAGTTTCTGACAAGAATCAGAAATTGAATTTGAAAATTCAGCCAACACAGGAGGCATTTTAACAGATTTATTGGCTTAAAACTGTTAGGGAAAAACTGGAGTGTCTGATTTTGGTCTGGAAACTCTTTTGCATAGGGGAACCAATCACAGGTGGGTAAAGGGTCACGTCACAATTCCTGTAATGTCCGTGGCTGACTATGTCAGTGTCACTGTTTACCCTGGGAGTGTGGGAACAGGATCGTTGCGTTATGAGTGAATGGTTGGACCAGGAGGAGACGTGAACCATAGGACAGGCAAGGGTCATACACAAGATGGCGGAGATGGCAAAACTTATCTCGAAGTCCAGAATCCAGAAACAAGGTCGAGGGCCAGGAGTCAGAGGCAGGTGCGAGGCAGGTGCGAGGCAAGAGACTGGGATCCAGAGATGAGAAAAAAGGTTGGAACGAGGGCAACAAGACGAGACATGGAAATATCGAAATCGATGTCTCCTCATCTTTTTTTTTATCTTGACAGTGGTCTTCTCTGCCACTTCAACTAGTGTGTTGTGCACTGACTGGCACCTACTGTATGTGTTATTTATTTTGCAGTTTGGGTGTGCCCTTCATTTTCTGTTCCTAAATTAGCTGTGTGTGTGTGTGTGTGTGTGTGTGTGTGTGTGTGTGTGTGTGTGTGTGTGTGTGTGTGTGTGTGT